TTCCCTATTTTTATATTTTTTAATTGACTTAATATGTCAAATTAAATAACCTTAAAAATGGGCTGGAGAATAATTGAATCTTAGTAATTATAAAAATGAAATATCTTATAATTTTAATAATAGATACATTGTCAGTAATTTTATATTGATTTATAGGAATAAACTATTTCAAGTTCTTAAGTCATATATGTGTCTAATAATTCTTATCTTGAGTTGACGTATTCTATAGGCAGGCTGCTGAGTGAAATTTCTAAGAATACTGTTTTTAATCACTTCCAATTAATAGGTTCAAAGCTTTAAATTTTAGTAATGTAAGTACTAATTCTTCATATTCTAGAAAGAAAGCTTGGGTGGGAAGAGGGGGATAAAGAATTTGTTGTTGTTGTCGTTGTTGCTGTTATGTGCCATCAAGTTGGACCCGACTCAGCAACCCCTCCTTGGGTTTCCGAGGCGATATCACTGCAGAAGTAGGCTGCCCAACCTTCCAAAGAATTTAGGAAGGAGCAAATCATGGACTGAAGCAGAGAAGAATCCTAGAGTTCCCCATCCAAGCTTGGATGAGTGGGGTTTCCATGGACAATATGTAGGGAAAAAAAACCTCCGAACCTATCAGTAATCCATGCATAACTCCAGGAGTCCAACGATTAGTCCTGAGGTATAAGGATAAGAATCTAATAATTTATTCAGTAAAAAAAAAGCAAACCAAACTCATCGCTCTCCAGTCGATTCAACTCATAGTGACCCCTCCTAGGGTTTCCCAGGGGGTATCTCTACAGAAGTAGATTGCCCAATCTTCCTTCCGAGGACTGGCTGGTGGGTTTGAAATGCCAGCCTTTGGGTTAGTAGTCAAATGCCTTAGGCACTATGCTCAGTAGTCATCAAAAAATCACTGGTAATAGCTGCCTTGCAAACTCTGATTTCTCTTATTTCACTACATAGCTATTGTTTAGGACAGAATGCTTTTTAAATGTGTTGTGAATTAAAAAGTAGGATTTCGATCATACTTTATAAACTACACTAAGTTTTTGTGTTCAGCAAAAGTATTAACTTTTCATTCTTTGCAATATTTATGTGGATATATGGGATGCTAAGGCTTGTCATTTCCAATATTATAAGTATCTATTACAGATACTGGTCTTGATGCTTAGTTTAAAAAGAAAGGAAACTCTTTTGAGAGTTCAGTGCACTGGAAATTTCTACCAATATTTCTCTTCTAAGGTAAAATGTTACATGTTACCTGGATATTGTTTGTTGCATTCTATTTAAAGTTCTCTGTTTCCTCTTAAAAGTGCATGTGTTTTCTCCACATTGAGAACAGAGACTGTTAATTCAAATGTAGCATGGGATGTCTGCCTATTGGTTTTCATCTGTACTGTATGTGAGAATGTTGTCTGTGGAGGAAAAGTATAAAGAATGAATGTGAATACTTTGCTGTTCAACTAAATGTGGTTTATTTCTTGCTTGTTTGAGAAAACACTGGAGAATAAGGTTGTATGAGGGTGTCTACACTTCCCATCCCAGTGGTTTGGTGTCCCTGTCCTTGCCGTGTTCCTGGCCTTTGAAAAATCAATGGGACTAAACTCTGACTTTTCCTTAAAGCTTGAGCACGCTAGATTGTAGATAAGTTCAAAACATTTGAACCTTGGTTATTTTGATTTAAACTACCCTTCAAAGCATTTTAGTTGTTAATCCTGCAGAAACCTTTTATTTGGTTTTTTTCTTCCTCTTGGTTTTTTATAACAGGAAATATTAAATGTCAAGAAAAGTGCCATGCCATTATCCAAATTATCTTTTAATCAGTGCTAATTGAAACATTGATTACATTGAAAATCATTTCATTTCAGCCACAGCGTCCTGTGTTTACCCATGAAAACATTCAAGGTGGGGGGGAACCGTAAGTATTCTTTTTATCTTCTAAATTCAAGACTAACCTTGATTCACAAAACAGACAAGTGATACACCAAAGCAGATGGTACAACTCTGCAAGTGAAAGAGATCAAAGAAACTAATATGAGACCTCCTAAATTAAGAGAAATCGCAAATTCTCCATCTTTTGTAATACAGAGCAGAAGCTAACTTAGAATTATTTATAAAGCATGATTTTACCCAGAAGGCCTTGGAAAGTCTTCCAACACTGAAGTAATTCCTAAGATAGATAATCTGCCTCTGCTTTACTGGTCATGTAGATTTTAGTAACTACTGCTTTAAAGGTACCCAGAAAATAATCTAACATTGTTTTTGCACATATAATGAGACCTGGAGAATGAAAGAATACACCTGAAGTGGTAAGTTAGTAACATAGTTCCTAAACTGCATATTGAAAATAAACAACAAAAAAACCAAAAAACTCACTGCCGTCAAGTTGTATCCAACTCACAGCAACCCCTCTGGGTTTCCAAGGCAGTATCACCATGGAAGTAGATTGCCTACTCTTCCTTCCAAGGAGTGGCTGGTGGGTTTTGAACCGCCAGCCTTCTGGTTAGCAATCAAATACCTTAGGCACTATGCCACCAGAGCGCCTATATTGAAAATAGCAGTATTGAAATTATCAGGAGCTAGATCCCTGCAAAGGAGCATCTATGGAACCAAACCTTGTCCAGCATACCTGACCACATGCAGCGAGCCTCCAGGCCCCTCCCAAGCTCTGCTCACCTGAAGCTGAGCATGCAGACATAGAGTCTTCCTGGTGTGTGGACCGGGTTCCATAGACTGGCCTGGGGCCTTCATCACCATCCATCCCCTCCTCACTCCTCACAGACCTTATACTGAGCTCAGAGCATGCCCTGCAGAAACCATCTCTCATCTGTGACTGGCTCTTGCCAAGTACAGCCAGAAAATTGTGTTGCTAAGAGATATGTCATGCGGATGGGGAGGTGGGGGAACAAGTTGAGGTGAAAATAACTTAAATTTTCACTTGATCAGAAAAATTTTAAATAACTTGTAATCCTTAATTTTTTTTTTTTTTTTTTTGTTTTTATTTTTTTTTTTTAAAAATTTGGTGGATCAACCCCAAAAAAAAAAAAAAAAAAAAAAAAAAAAAATCCAGAGCTGTTTAGGTTTATTACATTACCAACACTTTGTATTAAGCACCTTTTAAGGAGGTCATGAATTAAAAGGTGTCCTATGTTACACTGTTTTATGTAATATGGTGTTAATACTTTAAACAGTGGTCCTTTGGGTGTTTATGAAACCACAGAGCCCATTTTTTAAATCCTACTTTAGACATTATAAAACATTGTATAATAAATGTCTATTTGATTACAACCTCAATTAATGGGATTATGAAGTGGCACTTAATCTCTTTCACTTAAAAAATGGGTTTTGAATGAAATTAGGAGCATAGTCATTTTTTATGTCTCTACAACTCAGGGTTGTAGTGAAATACAGTACAGAAAAATTTATACATCCTAGGAAATGCTTCAAGTTTGATTTAACACTATTTCCTTTTTAAAAGATATGTCTTTTTGAAGCATCCTGAGTTCACCACACCATCATTCATCTCACCAACACATCCTTCAAATCAGTATTTTTGTATTTGCAGTGTGATTATATTTCCTGTCATACACTAATTTTGAAAGCCAGAAGAGATAGGAGGATTTCCAGAAGATTAGTTTATGTTTCCATAAAACTCCCAGTTTTCTTTATATTTATCTCATTTTGGGGGCGGGGAGGTGATACTAATTAAATCTGAATGGTAAGTAAAGTTTGACAAGCATGCTGGATTTCGTCATTCAAAAGTGAAATAGGAGTCTGGGCCAATTTTGCTTTTTTAGCTCTTGGGACCTTGAGATTCTTCAAGTAGCTGGGATTGTGGCCTTAAATAGGCCTGTCTCTGTAAGTGCTTGGAGACACACCCAGGGGAAGGCTGAAGCCTGAGAAGTTCGGTCAGTGAATCAGTGTCTCCCAAAGTGAGACACACTGTCTATCTATCGAGTTAACAGTCCAGTAATGACTAAATCTCTCTAATGTGAAATTGGAAAAAGGGACCATGATTGTGTTATTTGTTCCCTTTTTTAACTATTTTCATTTTATGTTGAAATCAGCTTCCCACATGGATATACAAAAGATAGCATTCATTCACCTGAGCAGCCACAAAATCAAATCCTTAATGCAAACAACAAAATGATTTTACAAGTTCGGCCAGGGCTGGCCCTAAGCAAACATCCAAGTTAGGTAATGTTTGGACTCTGCTCCACCATTTTTTCTGCCACTGCTCAGGAATTCTCACAACCTTTTTCTAGCCTTTCCACAATCAGAACCCTAATTTAACAAAAAACCTCAGAGGTCCGCTCTTGAAAGATCACGAGAGGTTAAAAAAGATTTTACTAGGAAGACAAAATATTAACGAAGGAAGATATCTCTAATGTTAGACTTGCAGGCTTTGGCACCAGGCCACGGAAGATAATGTTTTTCTAGCACAGGGCTTTGGTCACCACCCATTACCAGCTCTTTCCCAGACCCACAGAAAGCCAACTTTTGCCAGGTCCCCCAGCCTGAAAAAGTTCACGGACAGAGAGGGGAAGCTAAGGCAGCAATGTCCCTCATTTATGACATAATGTTTGAGTTCAAGCCATAGAATAGTTTTGTTCTACCAAACTATGATTTTGTAAACAAATAATTAGAAATAAATCGTTCTTATTCCTGAACAGTACTCAATATCATCAACTTTTTAAAGCTGACTTAAAAAAATCCAGTGTTCTGGAACATGGTTCTTACTTTCTTTCACTAGAAGTACGTAGCTGTCATGAAGAGCCCATCCACCCGTTGATTGCTGTCGAGTTCATTCTGATTCACGGCATACACAAATTCACTGATTTTCAAAAATCTTTCTCTCAGTATGGGTAATAATCTTAGTAATAGTGTGAAGTTTTCTTGTTAACTATGTTTCAATCTCTCCCTGACCTTTTGGGCTGCTAGAATTTGTCTTCACTTTGTAAAATGCTAATCCATGTTAATATTCATTAAAATAACCAAGTTTTTTATTAACACAAATTCAGTGGTTGGATTCATTACTGATCCAAACGAAAACCCAAACCTACCAAAATCCAATCTATTCCAACTCATAGTGACCCCCATTGGGTTTCGGTAAATCTTTACAGAAGTAGATTGCCTCATCTTCCTTACAGAAGTCAATTGCTTAATCTTCCTTCTGCACAGCGGCTAATGGGTTTGAACTGCCAACCTTCTGGTTAGCGGTCAAATGTCTTAGGCACTGTGCCACCAGAGCTTCTTCATTACTGATCAGGGTTATCATAACCTATGTCAAGGAAGTCAGGCAGGGAAAAAAAAGAGGTAGTATTCAGTCATTAATTCTTTATATAAAGTTATTGCAAAAGAGTTCTTAATAAAGTACAATTTCTCCGGGACTCATTTTTGAAAGGAATTTGGCCTATAATCTTCTGTTTTATTGATTCAGTGATAACTGAGCATAGAATAAATTAAGATCCACTTAACTTCATGGGTGAATTGCATCAGATTTTCAAATTCTAAAACTTCAGAAAACACTAATAAATCTGTGAAACTGAACTTTTTTGAAAATTCCTCTTGGTGAAAGAAAAAAACCTTCCCTTTCATAATAATTCCCATATAAATGGTTTACAAGACAGGTGTCTTTGTATTTTATACATTTCAATTTATAATCACTTGAAAACTCAATGTGCAAACTTAAATTGTTTGCCTCTAATTATAGCTTGTTTAAGCCATATTCCCTTCTTATTTTTATATATATATTAAAAAAACTCATTGCCATCGAGTCAATTCTGACTCATAGAGGCCCCCTCTGGTTTTCCGAGGCGGTAAATCTTTACAGAAATAGATTGCCTAGTCTTCCTTCCATGGAGTGGCATGGTGAGGTTGAACCACCAACCTTCTGGTTAGTAGTCAAATGCCTTAGGCACTATGCCACCAGAGCTCCTTTATTTTCAGATAGGTGAATAATTGAAGTATAATTTTAATATTTGGTGCTATTGTTTAATGTCTAAATAATAGATAATATATGACTGTTGTTGTTGTTGTTATGTGCCGTCTAGTCGGACCCAACTCATAGTGACCCCTCCTTGGGTTTCCAAGGCAGTATCACTACAGAAGTAGATTGCCCCATTTTCCTTCCAAGGAGTGGCTAGCCAATTGAAATGCAAGGTCTCACTTTCAAATATTAAAATGTTTTATCCAATCCATGGATGTTATAATCTTCCATGAATAGTCTTCACTGTGAGTTTTGAAATGTTATTAGTGTAATTCCTGTGAACGTCTAAATATTTCTACTTAGGTTGTATGCTTACCAAAGATTTATACTACCTAATGTATTAATAAGAATAAAAATGTTTAAATAAATATTGTTGTCTTCCACAGTTTAACAAAGGAGTAAAGATGTTTTAAACACACCCATTTGTCTTGTTTAAGGTTTCAGGCTCTGTATAACTATACTCCTAGGAATGAAGATGAGCTGGAGCTCAGAGAGAGTGATGTCATTGATGTGATGGAAAAGTGTGATGATGGATGGTTTGTGGGTATGTGTACATTTCTTTTCTGATACATTTGCCTGTTTTATAATTTGCTTGCATTTGCTCATTTGCATGATTTAATTCGATAGTCAAGCCTTCTTCCACTTCATAATGCCTTCGATCTTTCATACACTCATGTTGTTGTTGTTGTTATATGCCGTCGAGTCGGCCCTGACTCATAGCGACCCCTCCTTGGGTTTCCGAGGCAGTATCACTACGGAAGTAGGATTGCCCAACCATACACTCATAAGCATTACCTAATCTCAAGGCAATTGCATTGTTGATATAGTTTAGGATTTACTGCTACTGGTACCTATGATGTTTCCACTAGTTTTGTTTCCAATTCAACTGAGAGGAGAAAATTTTTTTAAATGGTACCAGCCAGAGTGAGATCTGTGTTTGTGTGTGTGTGTGTGTGGGGGGGGGTTCTAGATGAAAACAATTAATACCCTGTTTCAGTGAATAATGTTAATTACCTGCAGTGAGGATTTAATTTGAGAGCTAGCAAGATTAAATGAGCAGCTAACCCATTTAGTAGGTCTAATATACCCAATGCACTGTCATCCAGTCGATTCCAATGCATAATGACCCGTATTGGGTTTTCAAGGCTGTAAATCTTTATGGAAGCAGACTGCCCCATCTTTCTTCCTCAGAGCAGCTGGTGGGTTTAAACCAGTGATCTTTTGGTTAGCGGACAAATGCCTTAACCACTACACCATGAGAGCTCCTTACTTGCAACTGAAGACAATCATAAGATGGCCATTTGTACATTTGGTTTAACTCACCATATGAAAAATCATCCCTGATAATGAGACTTCCACCCTCAAATAATGATATATCTTTTTTTTTTAAGTGACTGTAACTTGTTGAAAATTTCTGCATTTTATTAAGGACTCTGGTAGTGCTATTCTTAAATGAATTACAGAGCATTCAGCTTGATTATCTATGAGACAATCAAAATATTTTTGGACAGTGAGAGTATCCTAGATAATTCTTGTGTTATTTCCCTGCTTTTTTTTAACCCCCAGACTTTTATAAATGCAAACAGCAAGTGAATAAGTGAATCATTGAGGAGGGCCTCTTGGCCACTGCACTAAGTCTTGCTTTTGTGTTTCCCCCATCCATCCTAACACACAGCAGCCCAGCCCCTTATATAGAAAATTATACTTGAAAATATCTCTTTCCAAATATTTTTCCCATTCCATTCTTCACTCTTGATTAGTAGCCTTGGTGACTGAGTTCTACCACCCACCTGCTCAGCTGGAAGACTTTCCCTTTAAATTGAGAGGCTTAGTTTTACATTTAAGCTTCAGAGATAGTGCGTAATCAGGCAGCACAGATAAATCTGTTTGTTTTGTCTTTAAGTGAGTTTTGTGTTTTGTTTTGTTTTCCAAATCCTGTGGGGCTTGGTCTCTTAGGAAAACCTTGCAAATAACAAGTTTTCAAAACGACATATAGGACCGATATATTGTTGTTACCACTTTTCATTTATTGCTTCTGTTTTCAGGAACCTCCAGAAGAACCAAATTCTTTGGTACTTTTCCCGGAAACTATGTCAAGAGGTTGTGAATCGCTCTCCGTCCTTATTTATGCCGCATTTCAGCAACACATCTGTATAAACTTGCCTGAAACATCCCCGCAGGCCATCCATTGTCATGCCTTATGGTTTCCAATAGGAGTCACCCACCATCACCATCCCCACCTGCCACCAAACCACCAGCAGAGTAACTGCCGCTGCCGAGCCTTGGGGAAACATGGCAGAATTGCTTCCGCATCAAAGTACATACTTCTGCTTTCTGCTTGAAACTTTTAGAAGTTGATAGGTGGAATTACAAAGAAAAATATTATACTTGAAAAGGGTAACATATTTAAAGAAAAAAAAAAAGTCTCAAGGAAGCTCTTCTGGTATTCTAATAAAATATTTTGGAAGATGTCCTCCCCTCAGGCACCCAGAAGATTTTTCTGTTATTAAATGCTGTGGTTTGCATTCCCACATTCTTAGCTTGGCAATATATTTTCTTTTCACAAGTTTGCCTAGTGTCCTGGTTTACACGATATGACAATTGTACTTCAGCTATTGTTTGCCTGCACTTATATATTGTAATATGCACAGTGATTATAAAATCTAATGTAAGAGTAGGAACCTTAATTCGGATGAGTGTGATTTTGTTGATTGAATGTGAGTTTTCAAATAGGAGTCTTTTCCTGCAATTTTTTTGTACTTTTTAAAAGTGCAAACAGTAAGTGAATAAGAGCCTTTGATAGTAATAATGATAATACAAAAGGTTTAGCTGGATTACAAAAAAAAAACTATTGTGTTGTAAAAGTTGCATTGCTATTTTATATTAAAATGTAATAATCAGCATCATGAACAATGAGCTCTTAGTGTTTTATTTATCTGATAAAATTTAAATAAAAGCAGTGTTAGTGAGAGGGACAAAGAATTACTCTAACATAGACACTTGAAAGTCAGCAATATTCATAGGTTAGATTTCACTGTGTGTACACATATACATTTGAGATTGTATGCAATCATACAATGCGTATGATATGTTGTACATTGTAAGGAAATGTAGAAGAATCTCACATTATTTTATAGAAATAGAGTACTTTGAAAGCATCATAAGTATTAAGGATGGTTTTAGCAAGGATTATGATCAATACAACTATTTTTACTATGATAATTATTTTTCTTCTATGGAACTCAGAATCCTGGCTACAACTTAGGGCAGGAATATGTTGAGCCTGATTTTCTTGGTATGTGGTGTAAAATATTTCCTAGGAATAAATTAGGCACTTTCTAGGAATGATATTAAATCATTCGGGTTATATTTTATGTCCTGAAGCAGAAATTTATGAACTGACATTGGGACTGGAAAGATTTAATATGGTTAACAGTGCCTGAACTACACATACTCCAAGAACTAGCTTTGTATTTCTTATGACTTTGCATAAGGACTCTTCATATTTGGATCTTGAGCACCTTATAGATAAAATTTTTATGGCATTTCTTCCGTGGGCAGTGATTGATCTTTTCACAATGTACGTAGACTCTAGAATTGTGTATATATGTTTGCTCTTTTTTTGTACAGACTATTTAGTTGTTGAGAAAACAGAGGGGAGAAGGAGATTTCCTAATTGGGTCCTTATCCTGCACTTGAACTAAGCTAAAACACTTTCAGCTGATTTTCCTTTACATATTCCACAGATCACAAGCACGCCTTGACAGTGTGATCCAGTAAGATAGCATTACGCAGAAGTTTCTGAACTTAGACGTTAGCGCCCAATGTGAAATGTACATAGATAGTGATTACAGAGGAGTTTCATTAGAAAGAAAATAAAGAAACATCTTTGAGTAGCCTACTTTGATTACTGTCAAGTTCACGAAGAGCTTTATATTTTAAAGGCTTTGGGTTTGAAATTAGGTCAACTGCATGCGGCTTTGCTGAAAATGAATTAACTATCTTTGATGCCATTTATGAGAAAAAAAACTTCAATATCTGTTGCCTGTCATATTTAAGATAAAATTGATGTTTCTACTCTCTGTATCTGATTTTGAAAGGAAAACTATTCATCCTGACTCTCTGGTAATTGACTTTGGATTCTTACAAGCAAAGGTCATTGTGTTTTTTCTTGGACAGACATCTAATAAATTTTGCTCGGAAGTATACTTGTTTTTCTTCTTCATATTTATCCTTAAGTTAATTGTGTCTTTTATCCCAACTTGTTGGATTAACTAACAGAAAACTTATTACCCTGTTCTCTTTACACACAAATGAAGAAAAGAATTATCGGTGGCAGTACAGAGAAGAAGTATTTTTAAATCCATCACCAGAACGCATTAAACCCACTACCAAAACTCATTTGCTAAATACTCTTTGGCTGAAAGGTTTTTTTCAGCTGAAAAAAAAAAAAAAAAAGAAGAAAAAGAAAAAATGTAAACCTCTCTGCTTCAAAAAACAGCTATTTTTCTAAGGAGCAGTTGTTATAAGAAGGTTTGAGCACTTTCCCAATTCACCTATCTTGACTTTTAAAATCCTTGCCTTCAAAATTTTTGTCATCTTATGCGATAGACCCCGCTCACACCCACCAGCTTTCAATGAATTTCAAATTATGTATGCAGTTGGGTCATCACTTTCTCTCACACAAGTAGTAAATAGCTCACTTTCCTACTGAGATCATTTCTAATGCAGCTGAGACCCCTCTGGCCATGTGGGTTTCAACCCTTCTCCATATCTGTCTCTCAAATATTCAAAGCATTCCTCTGTTAGCAACTCAACTATCAAAGATGTCTTCTCATATTGCTACTCCTAATATCCACCCTGAGTCTCTCTGTTCCATTGAATAATTTCCACTGCATATTAGCTTCCACTAAAATGTGTTCCCTTTGTGTGAAGCATATATCCCATAATATTCTTTTGTTCCTGTTTTTATTAGAGCATTTTTGGGTACTTTAGTTAAGTCTGATGCTTGTTTGTTTTTCCCATTGCTCTCTTCAAGAGAACCTGTTGCCAAATGATCAGCACTTGCCTTAAAATATAAGGAGCTCTGGTGGCATAGTGGGTAAGGCATTTGACTGCTAAGCAGAAGGTCAGCAGTTCAAACCCACCAGCTATTCCCTAGAAGGAAGATGAGGCAATCTACTTCTGTAAAGAGTTACAGCTTTAGAAACCCAATGGAGGTCTCTATGAGTCAGAATCAACTCGATGGCATAGGGTTTGGCTTTTTTTTTTTTCAAAATATAATGTCTGGAATTTAAGTACCAAACCCAAACCAAACCGGTTGCTGTGGAGTTGATTAAAACTGATGGTGACCTCATGTGTTACAGAGTAGAACTGCTCCATGAGGTTTTCTTCACTGTAATCTTTGTGGAAGCAGGTCACCAGGACTTTCTCGCACAGCACTCCTGGGTGGATTTGAACCACCAAACTATGACCTGTGGGCCAGATGGACCTGGCTACTTCTTTTTGTATGGCCTGGAAGCTAAGAGGTTAGTAGTTGAGTGCAAACCATTTGCACCACCCACAGGGGCCTCCAGTTTAAGCTCACATGAATCAAAAGAGGGATTCCCTTGCCCCATCTGAAAATTAATCTTTGTGCTTCTCTGTAAAATCTATTAGCACAGTAGCAGCTTTGCAAAAGCTTTGAGCTCAGGAATATGTGCACAGTTTTGTGCTTTGCCCAGATGGCTATCACAGCACCTAGGCCCTGCTCTAGTCACAGCTTCTCTCTCCTGCCATACTTTGTCCCCTTTGTGGAAGCTGGGTTCTGGATGGAATGTTAAATTAGTTCTTGATTCAAAATTATTTAATACTTAGTAAAGTATGTTATTGATTTTTTCATCGATGGTGCTAAAAGCACCAGTTGGGGAGTGGAGTAGGATCCATGTTTGTGAACCCAACACAGCAAGGCTAAGGTAGCACTGACTACACCTCAAACTCTACCTGTCTAGGGACATGCCATCTGGGTGCTAACTGGCCATCCAGGTCAGGGGAAGGGCAGCAGGAAAGGACCTTTGGATATTTTATGTGCCAAATTTTAATCCATCTTTTGGTTAAACCCTCACTAAAAACAGGCATGTTACATTTCTTTCTTGACGGAATGTAGCAGGAATTTATCTGAGGAACTGCCTGTTTCCATGGTCATTCCCTGCATGGTCTCTCTCTGTAGGTGGTCAAGTTGTGTGGCCTGATAATTTCTTCCTACTGATGTCTAAATTTCAGCCACAAAGGAAGACACTTTAAAAGAAGAATTCACTCAAATAAAACTAAGCACTCTGTCAGCTTCCACGAGCCTGTTTATTTAAGGATTTAATTATTTCATCCTCTTTTCCAGATAGTATATGTATTGTATATGTATCAATTTGAATTTTAAATTACTTAATCATTATTAATGATTAGGGTCAGAACAGAAGCAGAGATTGCCATTGTTAATAAATTATCTATACCAGGGATTGGCAAACTATGACCTGTGGCTCAGATTGATCTGGCTACTTCTTTCTGGAAGCTAAGAATGGTTTGTATAAATGAATATTTGCAAATTTAACTTAATGATTTATATATATATATATATATATACACACACACACACACATATATATATATACATATATATATATATATATACATATATCTATCCAGGAGCTCTGGTGATATAGTGCTTAAGGCATATGAGTGCTAACCAGAAGGTTAGCAGTTCAAACCCAGGAGCCACCCCTCAGAAGGAAGGTTGGAAAACCTACTTCTGTAGAGATACTGCCTCGGAAACCCAAGGAGGAGTCACTATGAGTCGGATGCGACTCAGCATCAGTGATTTGAGCTGACTCATGGCTACCCCATGTTGTCAGAGGAGAACTGTGCTTCACAGAGTTTTCAGTGACTGAGTTCGTGTTAATAGATTGTAGTGGTTACGTTTGTGGGTCAACTTGGCTGGGCCTGATTGAGTGGCTGGGCAGCTGAATGTAGTTATTCCTCATGGAGTGATTGGTCATTAAGGCCATGGTGGAATCTATTGGAGAGGCTGAGTAGCTGGTTTGGGGGTGTGGTAACCAGAACACAGATCACCAGACCTTTCTTCCAAGGTGCTTCTAGATGAACTTGAACCCCCAACCTTTTAGTTAGCAGGTGAACATGTTCAATGTTTGCACCATGCAGGGACTCCTCAATTTGATGATGGGAACATTAACTTTAACTTCACTGATTAGTGAAGTACTGTTGTTGTTGTTGTTATGTGCCGTCGAGTCGGACCCGACTCATAGCGACCCCTCCTTGGGTTTCCAAGGCAGTATCACTAC